AACGGGTGGCCGCCATAATTTTCGATAGTCACACAGTGACTATCAGTTAAGGGGAGGTAATGTAACGGGGCAGCCCGTTACTTGGAAGTGTCACTCATTAGAAAGTGACAATAAAGAATATTAAGTTGATTATTATTTGAACAATATCACCGATAATGGTGATATTGGTGAGGCGACCAAAGGGTCTGCTCATTGGTTGATATCGTGATGATATCAACCCACCAATCGCTGCAGGACGCGCGCAATGAGTGGTGACGAGACGTCACCATACACTCAGTTATATTAACATAATTAAGTCAAGTTAAACAGAGAGACAGTAACAAAAAGACTTAATTTGTTAATACAACAGTTTTACTTTTTCCTTATCCTACGCTTCCTCGTTTGCCTCGTGTACGTCTGTCGGGGCACCCAAACCCTTGCGTTAAGTTCACGCAAGATTGTGCCCCGTTACACACCCCGTTTCATTTTTTGTGTTGTCTCGACATTGACCACCGATCACGCGGTACTGAACTACTCCGCCGTATAGCAGAAACATTTCGCGCTCATGTAATTAGTCACAGTAAGTATAGAAGTTACCTGATAGTCCTTGTATTCCAGCCTTCGTCATGTGCGCACAGCTATAGCGGGCAATATGAGTACACTTCGCCAAACGAACAAAACATCTGATCGCGCTCAATGTAGCATGAATGCAAAGGATCTCCTTGTCTATGCATGTAAATGATGCTTGGTGCGTCTTAACCGATTTGTCAGACCAGGCAGGCACACCAAAAAACAAGCTCGACAGAAATTATGCTCTTTGGTGCCTGCTGCGGTCAGGTTCAACGCACAAGTATATGCACTCTTACCGCCTGTTGCCTCCTTTGGCGTGCTCATTTTTTTGAGAAAATATACAACCTTCATCTTTTAGTTCATCCACTACCAGCGAAAACCCATCGCTTTTGCTCGGTTCTCCCGGCACTTGTGCACCTCATTTCTTTCTACATCTTGGGTGCGTCCACTAGACACTTCTTTTCTAGTTGGGTGGCTCTAATAATACTTAGATCTATTGTGTCCGACCATCGATCACCCACTAAACCGCGTTGCTATAAATACTCGGAGCAATAATAGTAGCGGTTTTGGCGATGGCAGACGAACAATGCGATGATGCGGGGCGTGAAGCTCCGTGCACGCATGTTCATGGCATTCCAGAACGTGCTGACTAAAGATCACTACAAAACGATGAAGGCCACTTTCGCTCGGATGCAGAAAATTCGCGGCAATCTCTCAGCCGTGGGCCAGCCGAAGGTGCCAGTGCCGATGCCAACGGGTCCGACCGACAAACGCAGCTTTATCTGGGTGTCTTCGCGGGACGCAGAGATATACCCTTTGGTGCTCTGTGTGGGCCTCGGCGTCGGGGTCGCCATCTTCAGCGGTGTTCGCCACCTGACATCCGACCCCGACGTCAATCTGGACCCCGATCGCCGCGAGACGCCGGCATGGGAGCGCTACGAGCCCGAAGAAGGCAAGACGTTTTCGCGCAACCGCCACAACTTCGCCACTCTCACGCCGAATCCGATCAACACTTTGACTGAGTCATCCACGCACGATCAAGAATCGAACGAGTAGTAGTGCGTCTCGAGACAGGGCTGAAGCAGGAAGATGGAGAGCAGCGCAATTGCAGGCAGCTTCGAAACACACGGGGCGATTACACTAATAACAACTAATTTCTTTCAAACACATTGTGCATTGAGATTAACCCACGTAAACGCTGTAGCGAAGGCGTTTTACGTATTTTGTCTCGATCCACTGACGGAACGCCATGTGGCGCCCCAATGCTCACAGATGTACGCTTTTGCTGGTGCACAGGTGAAGGATTGTCACGAAGGGCAACTCACTGACGGGTATGGACGTCGCGTCACATTCATCGTCGAAAGTGATGCGGGGCAGCGAAAACGAACTTCGGCATGTGACGTACACACTGCATCATGTGGCTGCATCATTGAGCTGATGTCGAATCATTCGAAGCGTAAAAGTGCGTTGCAAGACATACTTGCAAGTCCGTCGAATGTATTATCCTGCATAATAGCAAGCGCTAACGAGTGCTCGCGATCGAAACAGACATCTGCTCCGCACACCTACTGACTGGTATCATGACATTCGATCCTGGAGCCCAGTGCTATCGTTGTGTAAGTAATTGACTACACCTGACGCGTTTTGCAGGATAGTTCACTCCAGTCTCATTGAAGTCATGGCCACCGTCATTCGATGGTGCGTCAGCTCTTGCATCCTCATGTCTGACAACCTACCTACGAGCGTGAACTGGTTGGTCACTGGAAGTCAAGCAGAAGAAAGTCCAGCGGACACATGCGGTAATCATGAAACGATCGTGAGTTTGCTCTCATAGTCAATTGACAAAGTGGAGATCAACACCAGCGAAGAGTTTCGATGCCAAACGTCACTAGTCAGTAAGATCAGATACCTTGTGGATTCCATCCTCTGTGCCGACAGTCCATTCCTATGCCAGAGCCTTACTCGGGACGGTAAGGGAAGATAAGGGAAGCATCTGGCATACGACTTATCATTCAGTCTTGTCAGTGTTCGGCCTCGCTGTCCTGACCCCACGTACGAGTCTTGTGCTGTAGCCATCGATTGCGACATTGTCGACAAGCTGACATCCCACAACTTAACACGGACGTTTGCGCTTGTGTAAGTCGAGTACGTGCTCGTTCATCTACCGTTGCAACACGTTTTTAATCTGCACTTATCGAAGTGAAGTCCAAGTCCTGTACATACTGCAAAATTGACGTGGTCGATGTATCATAGCAACTTCTGGAACACGGTCACAGCACCAAGTTGCACTCAAACATTGCTACACACCAGTGTGACAGCAAGGCGTGGTATGACCAGAGAACACGCTTGACACTTACTATCCAGCTGAATGGATTATGCTTTCGTTCCTTGCCATGAATTTGCCCATTCGATCCAAGTGCATCAGACTCGTGAGCACTTTTCGCTAGTACGCTTTCTCTTCTTTCATGTCATCGTAGCTATGGTTTACAGTGATAAGTGGCGAGCAGTGTGCAACTGACTCGCATCACTTTGCTGCTTGATTTCTCCAGTGACCAGCAACTTATGCTGCACGTCACTGCCAAGTCACATGCCAGTTGAAGCGTCTTTTGCAAACGAGAATGACAACGACTGCGCAAATGAGTCGATCGTCTTCGAATGCGCACGTCGCTTTTCTGGCGAGTCCAGTGCACCTCGGAAATACGGCGGCGGTAACATCGCCGTGGGCGTGACAAGCGGCACCGTGCCATGCCCCGGAGACACTTGGAAGTTGCACTTCAGCATGTTCATCTTGGGTATTGACAGTTTAGAGCCACTTGCTGTCATTTTCTCCAGCTCGTCAGCAGGCGACAACGAACGCGCTGTCGCTGGCCTATTCGAACGGACCGTAGACCGTGACGTGTTGGACAACGGCGTTGCAACCACATCCTCCAACGACACGAAGTCGATCGAACTCAATGGGCTTGGAACTGCACCGACCGGCAGACTTCGCTGTAACGGACTACTGTATATCTGGTCATCTTCCATCGAGCACGACTTTTGCCGCACATGCGCTGGCGTCAGAGCCACGTTCTGTTCCTTCGCCTCGGGCCGTTCTGGAAGCGCCTGTATCGTTTCCCTGTCTACAACCAAGCGCCCCTCCGCCATCACAGTACATCTTCTCTCTACCACAGTAGCAAAGACATCCTGAGCAGACGCAGACTGTCGCTTGTCCGTCAACTCGACCTCCAGATGCGGCGTCTGGTCGATACCAGCTGCTTCGTCGAAGCCAAAGCCCTGCAACCTCTGTCCTGACCCAAAAGTGTGCCGCAAGACTTTTCTCTGATCCCTCGCTGCAATGGCTACACCAACTTTTTTCGACGGCGTTTGCACGCGGTTTGCTGTGATCGCAAAGGTCCGACACTGACATCGCTGCCCTGGCATCGTGTCATGGTCGTGACTGTGCAAAAGCGCTTCGTCCGAGCCACACAACAGCATCTGCTCAATGTCCTCCTGCACATCGTCACCACTCATCGCTATTGCACCAAATCAACAACAACAACACGTCAATCAACAGCACAAGTGGATCCATAGTGTTTCTCGACATGGACAACGTGAGTCTGTGAATGCCTCGACTTGTACATGGACAAATATTACTACGTAATATACAGATGTCAACAATAAATTACATACCACTCTATACACATTGTCGAATTCGACGTACCAGGATAAAACCTCGAGTCAAATAACCCATCGCCCGAGTCGCTCGGAAACGCGTCGGCGTCCAACATGGCGCCGGGGCAAAAGACGTCCATGTCGATGTTCATCTCGACGTCCAGCGTCGCGTTGCTGCTCTCCAGTGGCAGTGCATGTCGCATGTGCTCTGACGTGGCAGACAGTGCGTCGCGCATTGGCTCGAGACCGGTCAATAACGCGGTGTCGTCCAGCGCGTTCACTAGGTACATCCCCGCAGGTGGTGTTGCCATTGTCACTAAGTCGGGGGAATCGATTGTACGCGCGTCGTCGCTGTTTTTGCAAGCGATTGCATGCAAAGTGGTGGGCGCACAAGGGAGACATTTCATTGGCTGTAAATGGGTCATGGAAACGATTGATTGACCCATTTCTCCAGGCATCTGGGATCGGAGCCTCTAGACATTTGGGTCAATAAATCGCTCTCTTCTGACCCACTCTCTTTTCTCTGTAGTACTTGACGAGCAGGCGATACCGTCTTTGGTATCAGGCTGACAAACACCGGTATCTTGTGCCGTGCCACACGTACCGGACAGACAGAGGGACAAAGAGCTGAGGCGGACGGTATACGTCTGACTACAAAAAACATGTATACACTGAAAAGGCGGATCGTGTATTCGTTTGGCACATTAGAGCGAGCTCCTGTTCCATCGACTGAAAAGGAAAAAATGACATGACAACGCAGTATGTATGGAACAACTCCCTGAACCCCACAGCGTCCCGTCTTACTTTGCGCGGACAGAGATAGTCTGCTGCAACGTGTACGTCTGGCCATTAGGCAGGACTTGCTTCTCGCTCACACGTCCCGGCTCAATGGCCACCATGTTCTTGTACTCTTCGTCCCCAAAGTCCTTCATGGCCACGGCACGCTCGGCCCACGGGTTCCACAAAACGAGGTCTGTCTTCGTGCTGACTCGTTTCGAGCTCTTCGAGTCGCGCGGAATGCCCGATTTCCCGCCGGTTTCCACCTTCGCACCGGCCCCGCCACTGATAGAGCCTCCCTTTCTGACCGTCACCGTACGGTCGATGGCGTTGACGCCCTTGATGATTGCAGACACGAGGTCCGGGGCGTTGCGGTACACATTGTCCGTCTGAGCCGAAAAGTCAATGAGCTCACGAGTCTCAGTCTTGTTCGTCTTGCTCACCTTGTCAAAGTACTCGACGCCCTTGAGCCCCTTCACCTGCACGCCCTTGTTGCGCGCGTCGTCCACCCACAGGTAGTTGTGCAGCAGCGCGTGGAAATCAATCGGCTTGCCGAACGTGTTAAGCACATGCAGAGCCGTCCTGAGCTGATCGGCATACAGCTTGACCTCGTACGTGAGCTCAAAGTCTACGGGCCAGATGGTACGGGTCGAGTTGCTCGACGCCATCGAAAACGTGGCCACACTGGGGCTCTTCTTGTCCTTCGCATCATTTTGGCTCACCAGAGTCCAGTGCGTGGTGCGGGCAAACCCGTGGCTAGGAAAGCCCTTTAGGCTGCCAAAATTGGGAAAGATAAGAGGAATGCCACCGCGAATAGGCTCGATGCCGTCCAGCACTGAGTCATTCGACATGAACAGAATGTCGAGCTTGGGGGCGATAGCGGCGCGAAACGACTTGACGTGGGCACCGAAGAGGAACACCTCAGCACTGGAGCCGCTTGGGTGCTTGAGCTTCACAGTCTTCAATTCAGCGTTCGCGGAAGCGACTACTGCCGCCACCAATGCGGCAGTCTTGATGAAGAAGGCTCTGGTCATGCTACAAGTGGGACGATGTCCAGGTTGAGCTTGTGGCGCAGAGGAGAAGTTTTGGAATGACTGAGGCTTGATCGGTTCGCTACAGCTTTATCCGCCCCCGTTTCGTGATTGTAAATGCCACATGGCAACATCCAGACCGAAAGTTGTGGAGCCACGGGCTGCATGGCGGCTTTATGTGTACCTTAGGGCACTAGACCATCGGTGGTCGAGCTTCATATGTCGTAGAGCAAGAATTTTCGATCGCACGAGCGAACGATAGCTGGAGAAACATATGGACGAACATGTGCTGCAGTCGAAACCATGTGCTACGTAAAAACCACGACAGAGCGTACGCCATGCGAACCAAAGCCGTTATCCTTCTCTGCCCCCGTCAACCTTATCGTCTGTCTGACTTATACCTCGTACGAAGAAGGTTGCGATCGTCGAGGTACTTTGAACCCTATGGCATGACAGACAACGCTTTCCGTTTCGATACGTATGGACAGATTCGTAGACTGTAGTTGAGCGACCGCGACCTCTTCGTCTCTTTCATTCTGACCAAAAGGATCTGCAACAAAGTCAGTTTTCGCTCATCATGCGCCTCTGCCCCATACATTCGATCACATTTGAAGGCTTCTGATCAATTGATGCCATTACTATGCTGCTTTGAACTGATCTCCATCAACGACATCTTCTCTTTTGATCTACTGCACACTGCTTCGGCTTCCTTCGCGCGTCAACGATGAGTATTTCTTGCCTGATCAGCGTTGACCCAGGCTACAGCTACGAACGTTGATCTCACTTCTCGCCACGACCTGTAGGAACGATGTCACGTGTATTTCAGCTAAGTGCCTTATCCGTCAAGTACTTGATTGCACAAACGATCGCTTTCTTTCATTGTGCGCACGCAATGTTGAACACCGGTGTCAAAACCTTTCCTTGCAAACACCACAGGCGGTGTTTCCCCTGAAAAGATAGTCAACTTCTGATCACCAACATGCATGCTCTTAGTGCAAGAAACAATTCGATGACCATTCGATGAAGTGCTCATTTGAAGAGTCAACATCGAATGACTTGTGTATCGCACAAACGTTTGTTCAAAAGGTAAACGCTGTAGCCGTACTCGACGACATCGAACAGCTTGACACTGTACTTCATCATCAGCTTGCTACGATCGATATCAATGTGGAGATGTAGCAACGAGCATGACCATCAATGACACTGCGCAGGTTGCTTTTGTTCGGACGACATCACATATGCTTGAGCTTCCGTAAACCACATACAGTCTGTTTTACCTTCTATTTCCTCCAACCTCCAACCTCTTGGAGCTGACGATGACAAGCTGCAGGAAGCTCTCCAGGCGACTCACAAACGTACACCAGATGTAGGGTGGTGTTTGAGGTTAGCGACAGGAGCAACTGAAATGACGTCAATCAACCGGGGCTTCCAAACGTAACCTCATGGTAGGGAGTGGGACTCGATGGCGAAAAACTGACGACTCGTGAACGGCTGCTGGATGTATTGCGATGCAAGAGTAACGATTGTTGCACTCTATGTTCGCGCATCGTCGTACTGAACGGCAATTTGTTGCCACGTGGTACGAATGGTAATAGTGATCCATGACACGTGTGTTGTAACACATGTTGCAAAATGTTGTCATGCTTGGTCGAATGAGTGCAGACAAACGTGCAGATTCACCGGTAGTTGAGGCTCTGAGGCTCCCGCACAGAGGACTCGCGCGGAGACTGCACTCCTCATCTTTCGGCATCTTCTTACGATACGTTGATTGCAAGCACGCAGAGATGGTGAAACGCGTATTGCATGCCCGCAACAAGCTCAAAGGGACGTTTCTACATCTAGAGCGGAACCAGGCGTAGCTGCATTGCGATCACAACTTGACAACGGCACGAACATGCGTCATCGTAGGAGACGTACCTGTGTTGTTCAATCGCATGATCTGTGCTACGGGAAATGAGTGTGCGGTATCAACTCGATGCAAGCCTTTCGCTCTTGATATCGTTTGACATGCTGTGTAGTTTTATCGAAACATTCAGTTGTAGCATCACTTTGGTCACCATGAGCGCGCACTGACGCTTTCGCATCTGTCCATGTACCAAGCAAAACAACGCACTTATCATTAAATAATACAACAACAAGCATGACCGCTCAGTCATGCCTTTGCTCAATGAAGTGATCCATCATAGGCTCAGATAGTCACACGAAGCCCTGGCAACTACGTCCATCCCCTCCGTAAAAGTTCTACGCGCTACGATGAGGCAAACATGTAGACCGGCTGGCATTGTTCAGCACCGCTGTTGTGCGTCGTACCTTGGATACTATAAGAACGCTGCCAACGAACCCTAATAGTTCAGATGATTTACTGCAGTTCCAAACTCCTTACATAACAACGAGAGTGAGACAATGGTATACCGGCTTCAACTGCAGCAAACGATCCGCTAATGGCACTTGTATTATGACGCGGTCTTTATTGCAGCAGCAATATTGTTGTAACTGGGCCTCACAACTAGACTGCTTGCATGTGTTAACACTCTTCTTCTTCAGTGCCTACCTTGGGGCTTTGCCTAGCGAGCTAGAGTATCAAAAAAACATCAATGTATCGATTGTAACGGGTTACACGTCGGTTGGTAGCCGATATAACATGTGGGGTTCACACCAGGGATAGGATCCCATTGGAAGTGATAGTAGAACACCTTATCAGTCGTTGCAGGCTGTCGTGTGTCAGCCACCAGACAAGGGATCTTTAAAAAAAGGTACCAATTTAGGGTATTCGTGTCTGGATCAGGTATTTTACGGCTAAAGGTATACTTCCACAAAAAAATAAAACAAAGTTCAGTTCCCCTTTTGATCTGTTAGAGGCACTTGCCTTTTTAAGGCGTCTCAGGTCACAAGAGAGTCAAGTCTTGTTAGGACATAGACTCCTCACACATTGTGCACTCGATTCGTTGAATTGTTAGTTCTCTTAAACAAGGATCTGAAGCTTTTTGCTCGTTGACTCGTAAAGTCGAGTTCTCTAGAGAAGTAGCATGCTCGTTGAGCATAACTTCCTCGTCTGACAATGAGCTATAGTAATTTGGCTACAGAATCAGACTGTCTATCTTGCCTTCACAGCGTTCAACAGTCAATTTCATTATTTACCTCTCGGGGACCCTATGAAACGATTTCTTGCGCCTACCAAGACTGTCAGATAAGGTCTGCTGATGTGAGATTGACACATGAAACAACTCGGTTGCTAGGTAAAAACAAATAATACTGCTATTATCTCCTCCATGTCGTTGCTCTGGGATCGCTACCGGGCGTAGTAGTCGAAAAATCAGGTCTCGTTCGTTGCAATCGCTTGGTCTAATGTCAGATGTTCCTGCTAGAGACATTCACCTAACGCTGAGTTCAGCGCGTAGTGACGCACACTGAGCAAATATACGACCAGATCCTGGTTTGGGTCCGGTAGACGGTGTCAGCAGCATCCGGTAACATGCGCTCGACAGCTTTCGGCACCGTCGATAGTAGTTCTGGGGCCGGTCTAAATAATGCAACTCGTTTGTGTCATTCGAGGTCATTTGTTGCTGTCTCAATTGTATTTACTGGGCTATGACATGTGTCAGATACTCTTTCTAGGATCACGCACCTCATTACGAAATATGTATTGGTTCCTCATACCGCACTCTGCAGGTTTACTACCGCTTGCAAGCAATATCTAAATTTCGCCCGGGATATAACAAATCAGACTGATGACTGCTTATGATGTAGCCTAACGAATCTGGTACACCGTGAATAAGAGACTGCTTGAAAGACAAGATGTCGAACAAAGATTTTCGCAATGATCTGTGCCCACTTTATACTTGTGCTCACGAGGTAGAAGCAAGTGTATACTGTCGAACGTCAAATAATTGATGTAATGTGTGGCTAAATTACAGCGATAAAAATATACAGTCCCAATTGTGGCCGCGAAGTGAAACAATATGTTCAGATATCAACAAGATACGCTACGAATATATGTCTATTGCTATCCTTCGAGGATGCTTTCGCTTAATTTCTGACGTAATTTATCCATCATCAGAGTCTATCGACTCCGTCGACGACAGGTCCGTATGGTTTCGAGAGTAGCGCTCTCTATTTACTTGATCATGTATAAAAATGTTCTTGATATAAATTGACATTATCCATTTGGCGTCTGGTGCGGACAATGAAAGAGCCATTATTAGCGAGTGATGTTGCTGCGATATGTGCATGATGGCTATTGATATTAGTATTCGTCGTTTGATTTTTTTAGTTACATTGTGTGATGTCAAAGCGATATCGACGGAGTAACATATTGCCTTAGTCGTTTGGGAAGTGAAATTCCACGCAATTGAGTGCAAGTTCGGTTTCCGCCATGGTTAAACTTATTGTGACTCACTATCACTACCTGGCGTTTGGGTTTCACCAGATATTCGACTATCTCGAAGATACGTGCCCCACAACCGCGCAATCGATTTCATTTTGCATCTAAAAAAGCAGAACTTTTACAAACGGTATATTACAAGAGGTAATTACCCAGCGTTAGGTAAAATCTGCAAACGGTGGAGACAGGGAGCGAAATTAGTGGCTGGTATTCACCGGCTTATATTATTCAATTATTGTCGAGATAAGACCGATTTGAATACAACTCACATATCGGCTTCGATCCCCGTCTGTGAGCCCATTATCAGATTAGTAACAACTCCAACGCTTCTTTAAAATAACAAGAAGAACACTTGAAGAGCGTAGAATCTTGTTATCTTGCCAAATGTTTGACGTACCTCTTAGAAGGGAAAATGTTATAAGATGAAAGGTCTTCTCTCGGATGCGAGTGCTTCAGTAGGCAACACAGCGTGCCACCTGAAAGGTAAGCTGCCCTCCAATTTCCCGAGGTACGGGAGTAACAACAGAGATGGACATCCCGTTCCTACGTTAGTTTTTTGCTTTTCACGACTTACCTTAATTTGCGCCAACTCGTTCGCTGCGCGTGAAGCTCGCTCCCACAA